ACCCGGGGGGGGGGGGGGCAAAATAAAACCCAGACTTGCACTGTCGTGGCGACAGCACTGGCCATGTGGCCATAAATACTTTAAAAAAAAGTACAGGTATGTGGGTAAACCAGTTGATAATTACATTTGAAAATTTCGCATACTTATGATTTCTTTTCAAACTTTCCGATTGCATGGTTACTCTGAATTTTCATAGATTTCCATTTATTTTCATTTCGCTTTAATTATTTTTTCTGACATTGCGTTGGAATTAGGCTGTGTTGTTTATCATAGAGTTTATTTCGTAATTACGGTGTATTTTTCATGTTTTCGTGCATTTCACTTTGTCTTTTTTTTTTTTTTATTTCTCCAAATTACTTCTATGAAGGAAAGGGTAGTCGGTGAACTGGGAGGAGGGAGGGGGGGGGGTAGCATAAACGGTTAACTGAGAGAGCTTTAAGTCACAGTAACTGTCTTACCAACTCAAAGTAGCAGCAGTAGTAATAGTTGTGGTTGGTTACACCGTAGTGCTGTCAGACCGGAGACCGCCGGTAAGGTGATGGCATTTTTCTGTCGGGGAGCGAAATTACACATCCTAACCTGACCAGTCCGTGGCGATAGCACTAGCCTTGCGGCGCAAAATCCTCAGGCTCACGACTCCCCATGTACTCCGATGGTAAAACATATATCTGTGACATTATTTTAGTTATTGTGGTGGTAGTGGTAGTAGTTGTACTGGTACTTGAAGGATAGTGTGGAAAATATTACACTAGCCGCATTTACTACTCATTACAATTCCTGCTCCCTATTTTAGTCCGGATGGACAGGGGTATCAAGGTCAGTTACAAAAAATATCTTCGGGTGATGACTTTCAAATCCTTCAATGAGGAAGAGAGCAGTATTCGTGGATGGGGGAGGGGAGAGGGTGATGACAGAAATGGTTAACTTAAAGAGCTTAACGCATGTTTTTAAAGTGTTCATTTCTTAATTTGTTTATATTTTACTAACGCTACCTCCGTTATTCTCATTTTTTTTAACAACTTGGTTATTTATAAATACAGCTTTAGCATGTGATAACCAAATAACAATTTTTTCGTCACTGTGCTAATAATACCATTTAAACGACCACTAATATAAAGACACAATTATATGTTGCATGTTCTAAAGTGGCAAACAAGACTACATAACTGTGCAGAGAATGATTGCGACATTTACCATATAAGACAAGTGCGATTTCTTTTGTCTTTCTTTTCCAAAAGCCTTTGATGAAGGAGGGAGTAGTAGGTGGATTTGGGAATGGGAGGAGGGAGGGTATCGAAGACTATCTCTGTATGTGCGCAGACAATGATTGCAACTGTAACCGCATTAGACACGTGCGATTTCTATTTTCTTTCTTTTCCATTTAGCCAAGCTATGCCACAGCAATGCGTGGCCTGGTACAGCTAGTGTATATATATATATATATATATATATATATATAGATATATATATATATATATATATATATATATATATATATATATATATATATATATATATATATATATATATATAACCGATTCAAAGTCAACAATGAGTAAGCCTGCAGTTGTGACTAACTGTATCCTTTCAAACCATCAGATTGTACGCTTTTTATTTGCTTTTCATTCTCAGTTGGTCATCCCCAGCGTTGGTCTCCTGTGAGTTGCGGATTTTGCATTGTATGTCGGACAGGCTGTCAAAATAATAACCACACACCGCTGCACAGCGAATTGATTTCCAAACAATATCTACGTCTGTGTCAATTACTGTCTGTTCTATTTCTAGAGGTACACACATTATTGGTAAAACAAAGAACAATTGTCCATGATTTAATTCCCTAAACCAGGATAGGATTTATGTAGCTCTTTATAATTCTCTTTTTCACCTCAAAAATTGAGATCCATCGTGGTCTAGCGACTAGACGCTCGCCTGCGGATGCAAAGGTCGTGGGATACGCTTCCAGGATACCCATCCTTTAGTGGGTACCATGCACAGTCCTGGGAAGTAAGGGCGGCCGGTGTGATGCTGGCCACATCAACCACCAAGTGCCGTTTGGTCTATAAAACATAGGTCTAGCCCTATATGCCCAATATGCATGAAGGCTTGGAAAAGGGTACTTTACTTTATTTATTGCATAGAATATATTGCAGTGCTAGGAGACAAATTAACTGAAAACTACACAAGTACTAGCACACAAACAGTATTCTCTTCCTAACTTTCGCCAGTTCTAAATTTCGGCTGAAAATCCCAATTGTTCGTCCACTTCTGGACTTTGATCATGTTTCAAAGCTTGAGTTTCAAAGTTTCAAAGCTTAGAAAATGAAATGAAAACTACATTTAAAACCCTAACCAAAATAACAAAATAAAAATTGTCAGAGTGGCGTCCAGATTTTAAACAAGACGCTGTAACATGTCCTGTTCAGTGAAGGTATACGGGCCACATCAGCCATCGAATTTCGTTAGGTCCATAAATTATTGGGGTAAGCATCTAGTAAGTTTAGCTGCATGAAAATGAATCGATTACACTAACTCATTATCATTTCCTTTACGACGTTAAGCGCCATCGGGAGCAACAATTTATGGTCCATTTCTTGATGGTCAGTAATGGCTGCTATCATTCCGTGTGGATGTAAAAGCACTTTAATGTCATCAATCCATCTTCTCCTAGGACGGCCTCTTGATTTCACTTCCCATCTTTTTTCACGTGTAGCACCTGCACTGGTAATTGTTCTAGTTGCATTTTCACTAGATAACCAAACCATTTGATATTCTGTTTCTCAATGAACTTTCCGCATGGTGTTGTTCATACCGTCTGTCTGATAAAAGCATTCTAAAATTTGTTCACACTATTTACCTTTACATTTTGTGTTCAGTTTGTACCAGACATTGAAGAGGTAAATGCCCGGATGGCAGGGCTACCTGTGCGTGGGTGGGGGAGGGGTGGGGGAGGGGGTGGGGGACAAGACGTCTTCTGCGATTCTGGTGATCTTGTGACATGGCGAAGCATGACAGCCTACGCTTATTTGCATGGGACATGATGATGATGATGATAATGATGATGTCTGTTGTTACAATTCACCTTTTATACTCTCGCATTGACTTCTTTTCTTCTATTTTCCAACCAAGCCTGACACCGACGCCATTTTGGTAAGGTCATCATGTGGCGTATTTCAAGGACTGAAGGAAGAAGATGCCCTCGTTTTCCGGGGAATACCGTACGCCAGTCCGCCCACCGGACAACTTAGATGGAAACCACCAGTTGCTATAGACGCTCAAAGCAGCGCCACCTGTAAACATGTCTTCAACGCAACAGATTACGGCAGTAAGTGCCTGCAGCCGAAATTTGACAACGTATCTGTGTTTGAAGGGAGCGAAAACTGTCTTTTCTTGAACATCTGGACGCCATCTTTGAGTCCCAGCTCCCCTCTTCCTGTCATGGTGTGGTTCCACTCCGGCGACTTGATCTATGGTTCTGGAAACATGGCGGGTATGTCTCCAAATCCCCAAGTTGCCGGGGCAACCAATGCTGTGTATATCAGTTTTAACTACAGACTCGGCGTCCTTGGGTTTCTAGCGGTTGATGAACTGAGGCAGGAGTCCGACGGAGCAGCAGGGAATTATGGCTTTATGGATCAACAAATGCTTCTTATGTGGGTTAAGGAGAACATACGTCAGTTTGGTGGCGACGAAAAAAAGGTAATTAATAAATTATTGCACTTTGCGTGTGTATTATGTTGTGTGTGTACGTGTGTATGGAGAGGCGCTGACAGAAAGAAAACACGGGGGAAGGCATTGGTAGCTCTGAAGTTCAGTGGAATAGGGGCTCAATGTATCTAAGCCTTGTTTAAATAGGCAATAGTAACAATTATATTACTACTAATACTTTTACTGCTGCTGCTGCTACTATTACTATTACTACTGCGTGCTGAATGCTAATCAAAAAGAATAATACAAGGTGCGACAATTAAGAAATGAGACTTATTTTTTCATGGCTAAGTCAAAAATGCCCTCTGATTCACATCATGAAATCCAAAGAGGCAACATTTGTCTATGATCTGGCAACTTTTCATCGCCGCCAAATAAGCAAATAACATACAAGCCGCCATTTGGTTAACCTAGTCAAATGTGCATTGTTACATAATCAGCAGGGAGCAAAAAAGCTGACACTAAATTCTGTTTGAAACTCAGATAAAGCGCCATTGCAACAGTTGAATTGGTGCGACAAGTTTATGGGGATAATTCTTTATCTCGTGCACAGATTTTCAGCTGTTATTCACGATTCAAAAGTGGTGTGGAAATGTTTACTAATGCAACTACACCAGGACGCCCAATTTCTGTTCGCAATGAGGAACTCGTTGCAAAATTCCGAGAACGGATACAAGAAAATCGTTGTTCGACTCTAAGAATTATGTTAGATGAATTTAGTGTTAATATAGAGACTATTCGTAAAATTCTAGTGAAAGATTTGAGCAAGAAAAAAGTTGATTGCCTGTTTGTATTCAACACCTTGCAATTTGTTTCTTCTTTATGACAATGCACTGGCTCAAAGGGCGTTAGTTGTACAGAAATTTTCGGCCCAAAAATAACTGCATGTTCTCAACCATTCATCATACTTCGTAGATTTATCTCCCTGTGATTATTTTCTAATACTGAAATTAAAGTTACCATTGAAATAACGCTTCTTTGACGATATTGATAACATCCAAAGGGTCGTAACATCGACTTTAAGGCCCATAACAACAGAAGAACTACAGAGGTCGTTCCATTGTTTGTTAGATCGGGCAACTTGCTGTAATAATGCACAAGGGACTTACTTTGAATGAAATACAGGTTATATCTTCAACTGTTGATTTTTCAAATTTTTATGGAACTAGTCTCATTACTTAATCGTCGGACCTTGTATACTTGAAATAATATGAAATTTAATCATAAATAATAATACTGCTGCTGCTGCTACTTCTACTTCTTATCCTAAGTGCTGAACTGAAAACAAATATATTAATATATTTGAAATATTAAATATCTATAAACAAATAGTTAAAAAGGAAACATCTAAACATGGTATATGGTGGGAGCACTTAGCCCTTTGCATATTTTCTAGACATATGAAAGGTAGGGGAGGCAGCGGTCTCAGCCAACCTGCAGCATTTTTTTACAGGAGGGTGCTGAGTTTCTGAGCTCCCTACATATTGTATTCATGCTGCAGCCTAAACTGCCATATCTACATGTAAGAAACTCATATTGTTCTGTTTTTGGCACAACCTATGTGACCATATTTGCATAAAATAAACAGCTAATGTCCTGTACTTGACACAACCTAGACGACCATATTTACATGTAGCAAACAACTAAAGTCCAGTACTTGACACAACCTAGACGACCATATTTACATGTAGCAAACAACTAAAGTCCAGTACTTGACACAACCTAGACGACCATATTTACATGTAGCAAACAACTAAAGTCCAGTACTTGACACAACCTAGACGACCATATTTACATGTAGCAAACAACTAAAGTCCAGTACTTGACACAACCTAGACGACCATATTTACATGTAGCAAACAACTAAAGTCCAGTACTTGACACAACCTAGACGACCATATTTACATGTAGCAAACAACTAAAGTCCAGTACTTGACACAACCTAGACGACCATATTTACATGTAGCAAACAACTAAAGTCCAGTACTTGACACAACCTAGACGACCATATTTACATGTAGCAAACAACTAAAGTCCAGTACTTGACACAACCTAGACGACCATATTTACATGTAGCAAACAACTAAAGTCCAGTACTTGACACAACCTAGACGACCATATTTACATGTAGCAAACAACTAAAGTCCAGTACTTGACACAACCTAGACGACCATATTTACATGTAGCAAACAGCTGAAGTCCAGTACTTGACACAACCTAGACGACCATATTTACATGTAGCAAACAACTAAAGTCCAGTACCTGACACAACCTAGACGACCATATTTACATGTAGCAAACAGCTAAAGTCCAGTACTTGACACAAGCTAGACGACCATATTTACATGTAGCAAACAGCTAAAGTCCAGTACTTGACACAAGCTAGACGACCATATTTACATGTAGCAAAAAACTAATGTCCTGTACTTGACACAAGCTAGACGACCATATTTACATGTAGCAAACAACTAAAGTCCAGTACTTGACACAAGCTAGACGACCATATTTACATGTAGCAAACAACTAATGTCCAGTACCTGACACAACCTAGACCACCATATTTACATGTAGCAAACAACTAATGTCCTGAACCTGACACAACCTAGACCACCATATTTACATGTAGCAAACAACCAAAGTCCAGTACTTGACACAACCTAGACGACCATATTTACATGTAGCAAACAACTAAAGTCCAGTACCTGATACAACCTAGACGACCATATTTACATGTAGCAAACAACTAAAGTCCAGTACCTGACACAAGCTAGACCACCATATTTACATGTAGCAAACAACTAATGTCCTGTACCTGACACAACCTAGACGACCATATTTACATGTAGCAAACAACTAATGTCCTGTACCTGACACAACCTAGACCACCATATTTACATGTAGCAAACAACTAATGTCCTGTACTTGACACAACCTAGACGACCATATTTACATGTAGCAAACAGCTAATGTCCTGTACTTGACACAACCTAGACCACCATATTTACATGTAGCAAACAACTAATGTCCTGTACTTGACACAACCTAGACCACCATATTTACATGTAGCAAACAACTAAAGTCCAGTACCTGACACAACCTAGACGACCATATTTACATGTAGCAAACAACTAAAGTCCAGTACTTGACACAACCTAGACCACCATATTTACATGTAGCAAACAACTAAAGTCCAGTACTTGACACAACCTAGACGACCATATTTACATGTAGCAAACAGCTAATGTCCTGTACTTGACACAACCTAGACGACCATATTTACATGTAGCAAACAACTAAGGTCCAGTACTTGACACAACCTAGACGACCATATTTACATGTAGCAAACAGCTAATGTCCTGTACCTGAAACAACCTAGACGACCATATTTACATGTAGCAAACAACTAAAGTCCAGTACTTGACACAAGCTAGACGACCATATTTACATGTAGCAAACAGCTAATGTCCTGTACTTGACACAACCTAGACGACCATATTTACATGTAGCAAACAACTAAGGTCCAGTACTTGACACAACCTAGACGACCATATTTACATGTAGCAAACAGCTAATGTCCTGTACCTGAAACAACCTAGACGACCATATTTACATGTAGCAAACAACTAAAGTCCAGTACTTGACACAAGCTAGACGACCATATTTACATGTAGCAAACAACTAATGTCCAGTACCTGACACAAGCTAGACGACCATATTTACATGTAGCAAACAACTAATGTCTTGTACTTGACACAACCTAGACCACCATATTTACATGTAGCAAACAGCTAATGTCCTGTACCTGAAACAACCTAGACGACCATATTTACATGTAGCAAACAACTAAAGTCCAGTACTTGACACAAGCTAGACGACCATATTTACATGTAGCAAACAACTAATGTCCAGTACCTGACACAAGCTAGACGACCATATTTACATGTAGCAAACAACTAAAGTCCAGTACCTGATACAAGCTAGACGACCATATTTACATGTAGCAAACAACTAATGTCCAGTACCTGACACAAGCTAGACGACCATATTTACATGTAGCAAACAACTAATGTCCAGTACCTGACACAAGCTAGACGACCATATTTACATGTAGCAAACAACTAATGTCCTGTACTTGACACAACCTAGACCACCATATTTACATGTAGCAAACAACTAATGTCCTGTACTTGACACAACCTAGACCACCATATTTACATGTAGCAAACAACTAAAGTCCAGTACCTGACACAACCTAGACGACCATATTTACATGTAGCAAACAACTAAAGTCCAGTACTTGACACAACCTAGACCACCATATTTACATGTAGCAAACAACTAAAGTCCAGTACTTGACACAACCTAGACGACCATATTTACATGTAGCAAACAGCTAATGTCCTGTACTTGACACAACCTAGACGACCATATTTACATGTAGCAAACAACTAAGGTCCAGTACTTGACACAACCTAGACGACCATATTTACATGTAGCAAACAGCTAATGTCCTGTACCTGAAACAACCTAGACGACCATATTTACATGTAGCAAACAACTAAAGTCCAGTACTTGACACAAGCTAGACGACCATATTTACATGTAGCAAACAGCTAATGTCCTGTACTTGACACAACCTAGACGACCATATTTACATGTAGCAAACAACTAAGGTCCAGTACTTGACACAAACTAGACGACCATATTTACATGTAGCAAACAGCTAATGTCCTGTACCTGAAACAACCTAGACGACCATATTTACATGTAGCAAACAACTAAAGTCCAGTACTTGACACAAGCTAGACGACCATATTTACATGTAGCAAACAACTAATGTCCAGTACCTGACACAAGCTAGACGACCATATTTACATGTAGCAAACAACTAATGTCTTGTACTTGACACAACCTAGACCACCATATTTACATGTAGCAAACAGCTAATGTCCTGTACCTGAAACAACCTAGACGACCATATTTACATGTAGCAAACAACTAAAGTCCAGTACTTGACACAAGCTAGACGACCATATTTACATGTAGCAAACAACTAATGTCCAGTACCTGACACAAGCTAGACGACCATATTTACATGTAGCAAACAACTAAAGTCCAGTACCTGACACAAGCTAGACGACCATATTTACATGTAGCAAACAACTAATGTCCAGTACCTGACACAAGCTAGACGACCATATTTACATGTAGCAAACAACTAATGTCCAGTACCTGACACAAGCTAGACGACCATATTTACATGTAGCAAACAACTAATGTCCTGTACTTGACACAACCTAGACCACCATATTTACATGTAGCAAACAACTAATGTCCTGTACCTGAAACAACCTAGACGACCATATTTACATGTAGCAAACAACTAAAGTCCAGTACTTGACACAAGCTAGACGACCATATTTACATGTAGCAAACAACTAATGTCCAGTACCTGACACAAGCTAGACGACCATATTTACATGTAGCAAACAACTAAAGTCCAGTACCTGACACAAGCTAGACCACCATATTTACATGTAGCAAACAAATAATGTCCTGTACCTGACACAAGCTAGACGACCATATTTACATGTAGCAAACAACTAATGTCCTGTACTTGACACAACCTAGACGACCATATTTACATGTAGCAAACAACTAAAGTCCAGTACTTGACACAACCTAGACGACCATATTTACATGTAGCAAACAACTAAAGTCCAGTACTTGACACAACCTAGACCACCATATTTACATGTAGCAAACAACTAAAGTCCAGTACCTGACACAACCTAGACGACCATATTTACATGTAGCAAACAACTAAAGTCCAGTACTTGACACAACCTAGACCACCATATTTACATGTAGCAAACAACTAATGTCCTGTACTTGACACAACCTAGACCACCATATTTACATGTAGCAAACAGCTAATGTCCTGTACTTGACACAACCTAGACGACCATATTTACATGTAGCAAACAACTAAAGTCCTGTACTTGACACAACCTAGACCACCATATTTACATGTAGCAAACAGCTAATGTCCTGTACTTGACACAACCTAGACGACCATATTTACATGTAGCAAACAACTAATGTCCTGTACCTGACACAACCTAGACCACCATATTTACATATAACCCAAAAAAAATGTTCTCTGTGAAACAACCTAGGTAACCATATTTGGGCATGGCTCTGGTGCCACGTCTGTCCTCGCCATGCTTATGTCACCTGACAACAGTGGGCTCTTCAACAAGGCGTGGCTGACCAGTCCCGTAGCGATCATCAATAAGACTGTAGGTGAGTACCAAGTACTGCTCTTGTCCGAAGTCGCAGCAATAAAAAAAATATTGGTAGTGACAGTAGAGAAGGTAGCCAAAGCTAGCGAATAAAACGCACAATAACGCTAGAATTTTCATGCAACCAACAAAGTGATAGAGGCAAGAGAGACTGAAAGGAAGGAAGCAGCAAGAAAGCACGTATGGTCAATAAAATCCAAGGGTACCGATACCTCTGACGGAGAAGAGAAGAACTGCCTCCAAAAATTGAAAGCATCACGGAAAGGCATGAAAGAAACGCAGTGGATACAATGCGCCGAAATAAGGAAACTCAAGACAGTACATGCAACACGATAACGAAATGAACCCCCATAGGTGGGACAAATTCAAAGAAGGAAACAGAAGCGCTCAGTAAAACCAGGAAAACTAATCAGAGACTCCCAGAGACTCCCAAACACATGACCCAATGAGAGCAGAACAACCAGCTCACTGACCCGAAAAAACCCACCAGCAAGTGACCAGCCAGGCATGACGAAGTTGAAAAAACACACCATAAAAACACCAGCGAAATGTTTCCACCCATACCCGTTCCACAGCCGCCCCAGGCAAAACTGACAGTCCTTGTCAAGGCTGTCAGCTCACCACACCCGATCTAGTACCCCCCCCCCCCCCGCCCCAAAAAAAAAAAACACACACACTCACAATCAATATTTACCCACTAACTAAACAGGAAAACTGACAGCCTAAAGTCAAATCTTATGCAGTAGAAACCCGTGGCATCACTATTAATATAACTAAGCCTCAGAGGCAGATTGAACGAAGTACCCGCTTTTAAACAAACAAACACCGGCTGATTGTGTCTACCTGATTGTTTTACTTGAGTAGAACACAGCACCACAAGGTTCTTTGTAATCAATGACTGCTTGTTTGTTGGTTGTTGTCTCCCTTCCCTCCCCCTTCTTAGGTTAACGATTAACTAAAGGAGTGGGTCCTACAGAAACAATAGTGATTGTTGTTGCTATTTTTGAAGTCCGGTGTGCCTCTCGTGCCTGTCTTTACTCACAGTTCTCGCACTCTTAGCTGTGTGGACACGCTACCCAAAACCCTCCCGATGGTTCTATCTATCTATCTATCTATCTATCTATCTATCTATCTATCTATCTATCTATCTATCTATCTATCTATCTATCTATCTATCTATCTATCTATCTATCTATCTATCTATCTATCTATCTATCTATCTATCTATCTATCTATCTATCTATCTATCTATCTATCTATCTATCTATCTAACTAACTATGTATCTATCTAGCTAGCTATCTATCTATCTATCTATCTATCTATCTATCTATCTATCTATCTATCTATCTATCTATCTATCTATCTATCTATCTATCTATCTATCTATCTATCTATCTATCTATCTATCTATCTATGTCTGTCTTCCTGCCTGACCGCCTGTCTGTCTTAGTTCATCTAAAGTGGATTAGACTAAAGGCAATAACAATGTCCGTGCGATGCAAAGGTTAGTTTATTATTATCCTTTAAAGGACGTTGCAGAACCAACCCAGTATGTTTTGGTTTTTCAATGCAAATTTACGTCTTGTAATTTGTGATTGTTTTCTGGACAGTCAGCTTCTTGAGACCACTGTCAAATCCAACGCAAGGCGCAAGGCCTGCAGCTGAGATCGAACCCGGCACCCGGCATTACGAGGCGCGTTCGAAACAATTAAGCGTTGACAATTCACAACCTTGCAACATCATGTCGCATGAAGATTTAACAATGTACCATCGCGATGGGAACTAACTTTGCTGTTTAGACCCACTTGCATTCTTGGTTGCCTCCCCTGTGTATCTTCGTTCGTCATCATCATATGGGGTCGACTGGTCTGGGCGATCATGCCCCTTCACAGCCTGCAATCTTCAACAACATGTATCATTTCATGTGCTGACACCCCTCCATGACTTGATAAAGGCCCACAAGAATCTTCTCGCGTTGTCTTCCCCTGTCTCTTTCCATTAGTCACAATATGCTCCACTTTCCTTCAGTGACAAAAGTAGATGTCGCTTTATTTAAAGCAGATAAATTGACATTTTATAGGTAACATCTTTCAACAAAAACCCGTAACGTAACATTTACTGGCGATGATAGGATTTTGGTAATGATTACCCCCCCCCCCCCCCCCCGTATCGAGACAGATTTTACTTTAAAATGAATTTAGCTCCTAAGTTGACCCAGCCTAAAATTGATACCAGGTAAAATCCTGGGAAGTAAAGGCAGTCGGGGAAGTGTTGACCATATCAATTATTGAGCGCCAAACGGTTTTTACAATATGAGTCCAACGTCATATGTCCGATAGAACAATAACGTGAAAAGGATCGTTTTCCTAATTTTTATGATTGTAAATAATATGCATACCATACAAAGCATACATGGAAAGAGAAGAAGCACGTAGAGCACGGGTTAGACCAAGAACAAGATGGAAGGATAACATCAGAGAAACTCTACAACAGCACGATGTGCCTATGGCCGAGGCAGCCAGAAGAGCTAGAAACAGAACCTTATATCTCCCTCGACACCCACAGCGGTAAAAGAGGAAGTTAAGAAGAAGAAGAAGAAGAAGAAGAAGAAGAAGAAGAAGAAGAAGAAGAAGAAGAAGAAGAAGAAGAAGAAGAAGAAGAAGAAGAAGAAGAAGAAGAAGAAGAAGAAGAAGAAGAAGAAGAAGAAGAAGAAGAAGAAGAAGAAATAATATGCCGGTTCTCGGGTAAAGCATTTCGTAATGTATTATTTCGTTAACAGAGACTTTAGCTAAAAAGTTTGTTATGTTTTGGTTCTCCCCCCTCTACGTGCAAATGCGATTGAGGCAGGGGTGCATTCTCTCACCATACCTATTCAATATATACGCAGAAAATATAATGAGAAATATCAAAAGTGACCAGACTTGTGACAGTTATGATCCGCTCAAAATTGGTGGCAACCCTATTCTGGGACTTCGCTACACAGATGACACAGTCCTCCTTTCGAACAGCGTAAATAGAATAGAAAATTTAATATTGTCTGTCCAAAAGAACAAAGAAGATCAACAATCTGTTCTTAAATTTAAAGAAAACGAAAATAATGTCCACAGATAAAACCCTCTGTCATCCTAAAATAACAATAAATGATGAAGAAATTGAAAATGTCACAAACTGTAAATATCTAGGCTCTATAATAAATAGCAATGGAGACTGACAGAAATTAAGAGGAAGATTGCAATAGCAATGCAAAGATTAAACAGCCTAAATAGTCTATGGTTAAGCACCAGCAAGGGAATCAAAATTAGAATTTTAAGAGCATGATTCTTCCCTTTAGCCGCTTACGAATGTGAGTCGTGGACTATCTCCTAGTCCTTAAGAAAGAGAATAGGGGCTTTTGAGCTGAAATGCTACAGAAACATTCCCAGAATATCTTGGACGAAAAGGAGGAGAAATACTGACATCTTGAAATAACTGAACACCAATAAAGATTGGCTAATAAACAGCATCCTGTCTCGAAAGCTGAAGTATTTTGGTCATATCAAACGGCACGACGGATTGGAAAAAAATATAGCAGAAGGCATGGCACCAGGAAGGAGGGGCAGGGGCGGAACAACACAAAGATGGGCACAGGATATAAGTGACTTCTTGAGTATGAAAGTGCATGAGGCGGGAGAACTGGCGAGAGAACGAGTTTCTTTCAAGCAGACCGTGATGAGAGCGACGTTCTGCAAAGGACCTGCTACATGATGATGACGATGATTCTTCTTTTACAGAAAAATGTTAATTTTTGGCAAACTGTATCTGATTTATGCGTTACCCTCTTCTGTTTCGTAATGCATCTTGTGTAACTTCTTACCTAAATATTTAATGCTTTCAAGTATAGCATCTTAGAATGTAACAGTTTTAGGTAGGAACTGCCTCAGACTGAAAGAGTTTATTACCTACACAATAGTTTGTTACCACCATTACTCATTAGGCATTACCAAGCAATTGCTAAGAAGTAAAAATCAAAGTTAACTTACATCTGACCATTGTCCATCTATCAGATGAAGCTTGTAGAGACAATAGAGTCTTCATGGAGAAATCCGGTTGCGACAGTGTCCAGTGCCTGCGTCAGTTACCTGCAGAAACAGTGGCCAGACTTTCGCCATGGCCAGTTCAAAATCAATGGACTTTAGACCAGCTGTTCGCCACAGTCAAAAACGGACAGCTCAGAAATGACTTGCCTATTTTTGATGGTATGTTTGTTACATTATTTTGTAATACCTTCAGGCTGTGTTCTTATTGTTGTTGTTGTCGTTGCTGCTGCTGGTGTTTTTGTTGTTGTTAGAGAAGAAACTGGCCGAATTGTTAAGAACGCTGCGCTCTCACGAGGTAGACCCAGATTTAAATTCTCAGTAAGGTCATGGAAGTAGACTTTGACATGAGGTACAATAAACTCTACACTCCGTTGAAGTAGACTTTGACATTAGGTACAATAAACTCTACACTTTGTTCAAGTAGACTTTGACATGAGGTACAAAAACCTTACACTCCGTTGGAGAAGACTTTGACATTAGGTACAATAAACTTACACTTTGTTAAAGTAGACTTTGACATGAGGTACAATAAACTCTACACTCCGTTGAAGTAGACTTTGACATGGGGTACAATAAACTTTACACTTTGTTGAAGTAGACTTTGACATGAGGTACAATAAACTCTACACTTTGTTGAAGTAGACTTTGACATGAGGTACAATAAACTCTACACTTTGTTGAAGTAGACTTTGACATGAGGTACAATAAACTCTACACTTTGTTGAAGTAGACTTTGACATGAGGTATAATAAACTACATTTTGTTGAAGTAGACTTTGACATGAGGTACAATAAACTCTACACTTTGTTGAAGTAGACTTTGACATTAGGTACAATAAACTTTACACTTTGTTGAAGTAGACTTTGACATGAGATACAATAAACTCTACACTCCGTTGAAGTAGACTTTGACATTAGGTACAATAAACTCTACACTTTGTTCAAGTAGACTTCGACAGGAGGTACAAAAACTCTACACTCCGTTGGAGAAGACTTTGACATTAGGTACAATAAACTCTACACTTTGTTCAAGTAGACTTTGACATGAGGTACAATAAACTCTACACTCCGATGAAGTAGACTTTGACATGGGTACAATAAACTTTACACTTTGTTGAAGTAGACTTTGACATGAGGTACAATAAACTCTACACTTTGTTGAAGTAGACTTTGACATTAGGTACAATAAACTCTACACTTTGTTCAAGTAGACTTTGACATGAGGTACAAAAACTCTACACTCCGTTGAAGTAGACTTTGACATGGGGTACAATAAACTTTACACTTTGTTGAAGTAGACTTTGACATGAGGTACAATAAACTCTACACTTTGTTGAAGTAGACTTTGACATGAGGTACAATAAACTCTACACTCCGTTGAAGTAGACTTTGACATGAAGTACAGTAAAATCAACACTTGGTTGAAGTAGACTTTGACATGAGGTACAATAAACTCTACACTTTGTTGAAGTAGACTTTGACATGAGGTACAATAAACTCTACACTCCGTTGAAGTAGACTTTGACATGAGGTACAGTAAAATCAACACTTGGTTGAAGTAGACTTTGACATGAGGCACAATAAACTCTACACTTTGTTGAAGTAGACTTTGACATGAGGCACAATAAATTCTACACTTTGTTGAAGTAGACTTTGACATGAGGTACAATAAACTCTACACTTTGTTGAAGTAGACTTTGACATGAGGCACAATAAACTCTATACTTTGTTGAAGTAGACTTTGACATGAGGTACAATAAACTCTACACTTAGTTGAAGTAGACTTTGATATGAGGTATAATAAACTACATTTTGTTGAAGTAGACTTTGACATGAGGTACAATAAACTCTACACTTGGTTGAAGTAGACTTTGACATGAGGTACAATAAACTCTACACTTTGTTGAAGTAGACTTTGACATGAAGCACAATAAACTCTCCACATTTTTGAAGTAGACTTTGACATGAGGTACAATAAATTCTACACTTTGTTGAAGTAGACTTTGACATGAGGTACAATAAATTCTACACTTTGTTGTCTGTCTTTTGTGTCTTTAGGTCACGTATTGCCAAGGCTACCTTTATTGACCAGACGTGATAAGCTTGCTGTGCCTGTAGTGTTTGGTAAGTGTCGTAGCTTAGCTTTGCAGTTACGATTATTCCAAGAAAGAGCTGGGAAACTGACGTTTAGAAAATGTTTACTGTGGCAGCGGCTACAAGTTTGGTCTTTATGTGATGATACTATCGGCGGGTAGCAAGCCATTCTAATGAGAGAGGGGACAACTGTATGAGGGAAGCCCCAATGAAATGCAGTTGATCCTCTCGCATTTTAACCCATTACTTTGAAGCTAAGCAAAACGTATTTATTTAAAAATAATATTATTGTCATAATTTTTTTAAATAATTATTCCAGTTTGTTTATGCCTAATTCTAATAATGATTTGTCCCTGTATCTTTTCTGCAATCCCATTTTGGGGTCCCATAAGACCCCTTACATAAAAGGCGACTAACTGGGGAATGTTTCTTTCGAAGTTAGACTGCATCTGCCTGAGAGACGAGAAACCAACAGTCTGCGTCCAAAAAAGTCAGATTTGTAAAGTGGAGGTGCACTCAATTATTGAACAGGACCAAAGTCTAGAAGTGGACAAACAGCCAGAATTGTTTACAGGAGTTTACGGTTGGCGACAGATAAGAAGAAGAGAAAGATTAGCGATTTGCTATTTATTTATTGATACCCTTATAAGTAAATTTAATTCAATATTATCCCAAGGTTCCACATATTTGGACATGAGCGGCCTCGATCTACAGCCTGGAATATTCAACATAACCTGGGATGTGTACAGTGAACTGCTAGATCAACATCTGGGCGTCCTAGGCTCAGAAGCATCGTCTCTGGTGAAGTCTTTCTACTCAAAGAAGAGCCACAAAGAGCTTTTACAATCTACACAGTTTCTTTCTCCAGCAAGTGTGCAGTTTTTGCATCTCCTTGGCGACGTCAAAAACGTGTGTCCAACAAAGGTGCTCGCTAATGCCGTTCTGACGACATATTTAAACTCTTCTGCTGTGTTTATGTACTTGGCTGATTTTGTTCCTTCCAACCACATCCAGGCTTCTAGCCCAGAGAGGATCGTGTTCTTTGGCTGGGATATTGTGGCGTTCTTCGGTACTTTTCAGGACCTGGGGTTTAAGATCGGTCAGGGGGAGTTGAACTTTCAGAATATTCTCAGAGAAGAGATCATGAGCTTTGTGAAGTCGGGGCGGCCCGACGCGTCACGTTGGAAGACAGCAGACGTGAATGTTGGGGTTATTGGAAGTGACGTCACGGTGACTCCTGTGGCGTTTGATGACTTCGTTCAGTGTGATCTCTGGAAACAATATGGATTTTTTAACTACACATGGCAGAGACATTTCTAA